TGTGTGTGTGTGTGTGTGTGTGTGTGTGTGTGTAAATTTTAGTTTGCAGTTCTTCTCAATCAGACGGTCATACCTAAATTACACTCAAAGGCAGAAGCATCTTGCTGACAGAGAAGCTAGCAGCAACATCCTACATTCAGTTCTTCGCAAGTAAGGTTGGTGTAACATTTATATGGATAGCGTGTTAATGGAGCCTATTGGCCGCTGCTGGCTGACCCAATATCAAGGGGCCACCGATTACACACAATTGCTATTACCTATCTGTATTAGCAAAATGGTTATCAAGGCATCTTTAGGCTCAACCAGATCAGCATGTTGCTCTGCCATAGAAGATAACTAGAACTAGCAAGTGTAGAAAATTCAGCCCATTGTTATTTTATTTGCTAGGGACACAATAAGTAAAGGTTTGCAATGGTTGACATACATATAGGTCTGATGCAAGAGTCCCACAATTCAGCCTCATTCTTCAACCCATCAAAAGGTCAAAAATGCCCACTTTTCTGTGGAATAAGTATTCTTCTGATAAAATAACAATCCAGTAACTCATTTATACAGTCTTCCAAACATGAGCATGCTTACCTGCAAAGTGAATGTTGCCGGCTTTGTTGGTGATCTGTCAAAAGAAGAATTGAGGAATATTAGACGTTTGTTTTTTTACACAAATCAAAAATTTAAAAGGGAACTAAAAAAAGGTTTTAAGCCATGTATGTAAACAAGTCAATGGAAATGTTGTTATCCAGGCAATTGTTTGCCAGGGTTGCTAAAAATTTCCCAATGTACAGGTATACTCATGAAAATATGACACGTTATTTTATAATAAAATGCTCAGGAACCCAGACAGTTCAAGCTGACCAAAGGATGAAAACAGCATAAGCAAAGGTTGCCTTCAGTGAAAGTCGCATGTCCAAGCAATCATTAGGTCCAGAGATATAGCCAGCTGAATTTTAGACAAAAATCGACTTTTGCAGGCATGTTAAACCTGACTCTGCCCCTTTACCTTCCTCATAGCCACTGAGGCCACTAAATCACATTCAAGTGTATTTAAACCCTTTGTTGGGGTGCCCACACACCTTACGATAATCGTACGATAATCGCGGGAAATCCCGCGATCGTACGATTATCGTAAGGTGTGTGGAAGCCGTGCGACCTCTACTACTGTAAGGTCGCACGACTTTAAACTTACGGACATGTTCGAAAACCCGCCGAGCATCGTACGATGTTCGGCGGGTTTGTGGCATGTCCGTACGATAACAGCCGTACGGGCCGGTGTGCGCAAGCGCACACTGCCCGTTCGGCATTGCGGTCATCGGAAGCCCGCCCCTCAGGGGGCGTGGCTTGAGATCATCGCAAGTACGATCTGCCTATGCAACATGGGCAGATTGTACGTTTTTTTAAGTACCTTACAACCATCGCAAGAGAAAAGTCTTGCGATGGTTGTAAGGTGTGTGCCCAGCCTTGGACTCATCTGAAGTTCTAGCACAAGACTTTTTATTTTAGTAACTTAATTTAGGAAGTGCATTTTTGCCTCTTTTTTGAACAGCAGCACATTATGGGAACAGTTTCAACAGTTTTAGGACTTTTTATATAGAAGTACATGGTGGCATGTGCATGTTACCATAGAGTAATGATCCTCCAAGTGAGGCTCAATGGGTCAGCATCCTGTGATTTCAGAATGTCCAGTCACTGTGCACAGCAGTAGCTCATCGAACCAATAAGGGCGACAACGCACCTTGCAATGGGCTGTATGCAGCAGCAGTGTTGTCAACTTTACTTGTATGTTTCATCTGTGCATGATTACACATGCTGATGCACAAGAACATGAACATTCCAGTCTCAACTGGAGAAGTCCAACTTCATATCCAGTAATTGTGCACAGGGGAGCCAACAGATAAGGGTAACAAGGCTACTGCTGTATATAGTCCATGGAGAGACACCATTATCCTCCTATTTCTGGAGCTGGCAATGCATATACTTATGAAGGGAAGGAACCCTAAAGAGGGGAAAAAAGTGCCAATGCTTTAACCAGACCCACATACAACCTTTTTTTTTTGTAGTGAAGGTTTACATATCTGTAAAAAATAAGTCACGGCAACTGGACTTGCTGTATTTTTCTTGAAGATGTTTCACTGGTCATCCAACCAGCTTTCTCCATTCTGAATTGAGAAAGCTGGTTGGATAACCAGTGAAACATCTTCAAGAAAAATACAGCAAGTCCAGTTGCTGCGACTTATTTTTTACAGATATACCATGACCTGGATGAATGAGAACCTTCACAGACACGAAGGTTTACATACACTTTCATTGACTAATTTGGAGGATTAAGAGGCAAGTTTGTATCAGCTGCCTACATTTCTGGATTTATTGATCCTTTTGACATGCAGTTTTTCACTGAAGACAACCTCTGCTTTTAAACCACATACTCAGTCTAGGTGCACAAGTTTTCAAAAAGGATTACTTTAGCATCATTAGGCCTATGCAGAATAAATGAAGCTCAAAATTAGGGATGCACTGATACTATTACCGATGCCAAGTATTTGGGCAAGTACTCGTATTCGCCCAAATGCTCTGATGCCTAGGCTGATACCGGAGCTTCCAGTATCAGGAAGCCAGGCGGCGAGTCATTGCATGCTGCCCGGCTTCCTGATTGGTGGGGAAGCTGGCCAATCAGGAAGCCGGACGACAAGTCATTTCCCGCCCCCCGGCTTTATGATTGGCTAGAAAGCCAGCTTCATGCCGTGTGGCAAGTCTTTACACGTCGCCCAGCTTCCTGACTAATCAGGAAACCAGGTGGCAGGTCAATACATGCCGCCTGGCTTCCATAATGGGACTTGGTATCGGCAAGCACCGAAGAAAAAAAAATGGCGTTACTCGATACCGAAAAACCGCCATCGGTGAATCCCTAGTAATAAATGTATGTGCAGCTCCTATTCAGCACTCACATACAACATTTATTTTTTTTGAAACAAAACTTTAACACTAGATAAAAAAGTAAGAGTTTCCACTTTTCTGAATAATGACCGCACCCCACAGCAAAGCATGGAGCTCTGACAATTTCATCCGTTCTTCTTGTCTGACCTTGCTGAAGTGTCCATTTCAGCAATTGACAGTTAGGATTGAACTTCTTTATTGTCAGCTCCATGGAAAGCATCGGGTTTATAATATTTTGTTACAAAGATTGCATGCCAAGCTTCATGTAGTCCCTAGAGTGGACAGTAAACCTGAGAAATAGATGTGAAAATAGGAGCCGTCTCAGCTCTACACGTGCTTTCAGTCACAATGCGGCAGAGGTGCTGAATCAAAATGCATCATTGTGAGGGTGAAGGATACTGAAGTGCTGATATCTGCATTATATCAGATTTTATCAAGTGTTTTACATGCACAATGATGGAACCCATAGCATTAACCTGAAGTACTTATAAAGAGCTTTTTGATCAATGCGGAGGGAAAGTGTCAGTCACCCTGGATATGTACCATGTGATGGAGATTGGGACACCATTGCTATGAACAGAAAACATTGAAGATGGATCAAGTGGTCTTTTCTTTTTTCTTCATATCAACTCCTGAGAAATAGAGATATTCAAGTGTTGTACAGATCTGTGAGATTTTATTAGTGCCCACATCCAAGAAGCATGAAAAGCTTCCCATGCTAGGGTCTACAGAAATGGTTGCACCAAATCTGAACACTTGCAGGTTTTCTGACCTCCTGGATGAAGACGACAGAACTATGGCACATAACTAACATTAGTTAGACATAACTTTAAGGCCTTGTTCACATTGAGCATTTTGTAGCGTTTTTTCTGCCCTAAAAAAACACAAAAAATGTGCCCCCAAAAAATCAATTTCTAGAGCCCTGTTCACATCTGAGCATTTTGTCGCAAAAAGCAAAATGCCTGTCACTGGAGCTTGGACAGGTAAGTCCTTTACACATAGACTCAACAGGAACCGCTTGAAAACGTGTGTTTGCTGTTTTTGTGTACGTTTTACACGTCTTTGCTAATTAACGTCAATGAGCTAAAAATTGCTCACAAAAAAACGGGCAACTTGATTTATGTGCATAAACCGTGTGCAAAAACATGCATCACAAACGCGTGTAGAAATGCGCAAAAACACGTGACCCCTAGCCTAATGAAGAATCTCAGCTCTGTGTGATGATAGCTGCAACCTGGTAGCATGATCTATACACTTCACTCACATACTGTAGATGTAACAACACCCACTATGTAAACACTGTACTGCTCACGCTATTCTGACCCAAACCAGGTACATGGAATGCATTCTTCAGCCATCATACACCACCGCCATCAGTCATGGAATGCATTCTTCAGCCATCATACACCACCGCCATCAGTCATGGAATGCATTCTTCAGCCATCATACACCACCGCCATCAGTCATGGAATGCATTCTTCAGCCATCATACACCACCGCCATCAGTCCCGTCACCGCAGAACAGAAAGTCCAAGCCAGCACCGTCATGTCTCCTCTCTCTGTAGAACTGCAAGAAGGCTGACTTTGAAATAACACTCTGCAAAGCACAATCGGATCAAAATGCTCAACGCTCCATACACTATTAATGCACATAAATCTTTTTCCTTTTACCTTGATCTTTCATAATTCTGCTGGGTCATTATAAACAATATTTATAGCTAACACTTAAGTGTTTATGCGGATACAAGGACAGGCCAAGGCAAAACGCTAGAACTTACAATCCATACAAATGAAATACCAGTCCTTGCCATGTCTTGTTTGCCAAGTCAAGTCTAAAAAATGGAGTTGGCATAGTATGTCAGTAAGGCACATCCTTCCACGGTCACAGCGATGTAAGATTTGTGGAGAGGACCATCAGGCACACAGCACTGTAATATGGCATGAGGAGCGTGCCTGCTGCGAAGTGCTAGTTACACGGTTGTCCGAGTCACAAAGCAGGAACACATCAGTAACCAGTTAAAGAAGAACTCCAGGCAACATTATTCTTAAACCTTGTAACCACCAAGTGCTCGCTTTGGTCTAGGGAGGAAAATAAAATGGTTATACTCCCCTGAACCTCACTCGCTCCCTCTCCACTCCAGCAGTCCAAGGCCCTGCGAGTCATCACGTTCTATACAGTGTATGGAGACATTCCAGAGGAGACAGGCGGCAGGAACCGGTCTGGGAGCTGGCTCCCGAGTTCTGGTGAGTATAACCTTTTTGTTTTTCTCCCTAGACGGAAACTAGCACTTAACCCTTGCAGTGCGGGGATAGCCCCAGCGCAAGTTCTTCTTTAAGCCTCAATACAAGATCTGCACGCTTGCTCTAGGTCACTGAGAAAAAAAAATGAAGCCAAAAAAATGAAGCCACAGAAAGCCAAGTACAGGCTGTCCCCGGGTTACCAACAAGATAGGGTCTGTAGGTTTGTTCTTGTTGAATACTTACAAAAGTTGAATTTGTAAGTAAATTGAAACAGGTAAATTTTTTAAGCCCATTTTTTTTTTTTTTAGTATTGGATAGCATAGGGAAGAGCTAACCCACTGTAATGTTTGTTTTGCTCTGTGTGCCCCTGTTCAGAAGACTTCACCTCACTTTCTGTCCCTGTGACAATTGGATTTTGAACATTTTGGGTTGTCGTGGAAACAA